AGCAGGCGCGGCGGCAGTTCCAAGCCCCGATGACGCTGCCCTTGCTCCGTGTTACTGGCAGCTTTACTGCCTTTTGGTGTCGTGTGGGTGGGGCAAGCCTCTCCCGAGGCAGAGCAGCTTTTGGGGGTGCAGAAGGCTCTGTCCCACTAGGTCTGCTCAGACTGGAAGCCTGACCCTGGATGGGAAGTAACGTGCACGCAAGACTGGGGGCAGAGGGGAAACCTGAGGGTCCCCCCATCCTTCCCACCCAGCTCTCGGCAGATCACATAAAACCCTCTTTGTACATCACAGGGAAATGAAGGAGGTGATAACAGCCCATTGGGAAAAGGGAGTAATTGGGGCTGATCCTAAATTCTACTGAAAAGCTCTCCTGAAAGCCTCGGTCGCACATCGCGTGTTCTTCTCCAGTAAGGCTGAGCCTTCCATTTTCAGAGCAATAAAATAGTGCTTAGGAAAGAAATCACCTGTGGGAACTGGAAAGGGCTTTGCGCATCCCCAGAATATGGGGTCTTCTCATAGTGCAGGGAAGATGGTGCGGCTCACGTGGTATGGGGCCCAAAGCACGTTGCAGGGGTGGGATGAAGGTTAGGAAGGACATTCTTGTACGTGAAAGGAGGAAATAAGAATTTGCAGGAAGACGAAAAGCAAGCTGCCTGCTCCCGCCTGAAAACTGTGGCTCCAGGTCCGGCGTGGCCGGAGCAGTGGATAATGCCTGCTTCCCTCTGCTTTCTCCCCAGCTGGCTGGAGGCATCATCCTGGGGGTGGCCCTGTGGCTCCGGCATGACTCGCAGACGACTAATATTCTTTACCTGCAGCTGGGGGACAAGCAGGCCCCCAACACCTTCTACGTCGGTAAGTAGGTCCGGGGACGCTGGCATCGCTGGGTGGGCATCGTGCCCCAGGGTGGACCGTGGCGTGCCGAAAAGCAGGGCGGAAAGCTCTGGGTGAGCAGCAAGGAGCTTGGACTAAAAATACCTCCCGCTCCCCCCTTACTCCCCAAAATATCCCCTGCTGTGCCAATCAAAGCATTCATTAGATGTTGGCTGTGGCCCACATGCAGAATCCAAAGTCAAGGCGGCTGAAAGCACAAAAGGCCGTGCCACGGCATAGTGGGTTTTCCCTGGTGCCGTTCTCCACTGTGGTCTCCCTCGGAGCACATTTGGGAAGAGGGGGGGATGTCTTGGAAGTGTGTCTTGTTTCCTATCCAAAGGGATGTAAAAGTAGCCGACGGAGCGGCTGGCAGTGGAAAGTGAAGCTCAGCGAGCTCGTGACTCATGTTCTCCAGGAGGGGCAGGTGGAGCCTCTGTGTGTTATGGTTAAGCTTAGGACGATTTTTATTAATTTGACAGCATGCTGGCTTGCTGGAAGATGGAAACCCCTATTTTTGCCCTATGCTCCAACAATCCCTCATGGACGAGGGAGAGCAGCTTGCAGGAGGGGCTGGGGTGAGGACCCATGTCCTGTTCTCACCTGTAGCTGAAGTTACCTTCTGGAAAGGATTTTCCTTTGGTTTTCCCTGCTTGCCCATGGCACGGCATGCCTGAGCCCTCTCCCTGGCTGTGCCTGGTTACAGTAGATGCTCCCGCTGTAAATAGCGGTGGGTTTTCCTCTCTTGCTGTCCCCCCTCTCCTGCTGCACACCCGGAGCTGTGTTCATAGCATTTCCCCTTTGTACATATTCAATTTTCAAAAGAAAAAAGGGAACTCCTTAAGAAGTTAAACTCTCTCCTGTCCGGGAACCAGCCCAAACATCTCCTTCCTTCTGGGGGCCAACATCTGATGTCTCCCCAAACCCGGGGGACCTGGAGCACGGGGGCCGAATCTTCCCCCTCCCCTGCCTGTTGGGCATCTTTTGCTCTTCCACCCTTTTTGTTTTCTCTTTGCCCTCGGCCTTTGCCCTTTAGAAGGGAACAGACCGCGGTCCCACTGCCGCACTGGCTTTCTGATGCTCATGAGCAGCCCGTGATTTGATGCTGGCTGGCTTTTTAACATTACATTCAGCAAGGGATCAGCCTGGATTCCTTCTGGCGGCTGTAATTTCCAGCTTCTCCCTCTTTTTTTCTCTTCTGGCATCCAACCTATGCATGCACTCGATGTTCTGCTTCGGGGAGAGGGAACCTCTCTGGGGTTGGCCTCCAGAGCTGGTTTCCACCACCCCACCCCCCCTTATAAACCACTTTTTGGTGTCTGGCACAGGGCACTGGTCCCGGGATCTGTCAGGAGGCTTTTGAAGGCTGGCCAGGTTTTGCCGCGGTGCTGCAGGACAGGGGGAAGCAATAAAAACCACTGGAGGAGGAAAGCTTGCGCCGTGGGGTTTGTGCTTGGTGAGGAGGGGCTTTGGTGTGTCCTGGTTTCCCTCTGCATCCTTTCCCCTGCCCCAAAATTAAAGCTGTTCGGTAAAGGCTGTTTTCCCAGGGTGTCTGTGTGCTGCAGGAGAGGAAGAGTAATGAACTGCAGCCGGTCGGTGTGTGGGATCTGACGGCAATGGGGAAGTGGGAGAAGGAGAATGTGGGGAGCAGGGCAGCTACCGGGACACCAGGCATGATGCCAGGCTTAATCTCTCCTCGGAAATCAGGCGGGTTTTCACCACAGCCAGCTGATGCTCGGGTCTCTTGGTTGCAGCTCTCGCTCGTGGCTCGGGCTTCCTCCGGGCCCCACTGTGCAGTTTGCTGCTGGCGAAGGGGAGAGCTGCTTGGGAAGGGACGGGAAGGGAAGGGAAGGGTCCGGCCAGGCAAGGGAGCAGGAGGAGAGGAGCAGCCCTGGCTCTCAGCTTCCTCTGCAGGCAGCTGCTCTTCCAGGCCCCGTGGGGAACAGGCAACCGTTCCCCATCTCATCCCAGCCCTGCAAGGTGGGAGCTCCTGGGGTTGGGGTTTCCTGCAAGTGGTGCCGCCCCCCCGGCACTTCGGCACTGCATCCACTGGTTGTCTTGTGAGCTGGCTTGGGAGGGTATTAAACGAGCTCTTGTTTGTGGGCTTTTCCTCCACACAGCTCACAAACCATCTGATCTGCTAACCACTTGTTGCAGTCTCGGCTTTTGGCACTTCCATTTTGGGTGTGGACCTGACGCTCCGGTTAACTGCTTCAGCACCGTGAAGGCAGGCAGTACCAGGGATGGAGATAGCTGGAGCACCATGGTTTCATGCTTTCATGGCTAGAAAGGAAACGGCTTGCTCTGCATCTGAGCTAGGCTTATGGTCTAAGATGCCTTTATTTGCTTTATTTGTAGTGGAAAAACTAAAATCCTTCTTGCCCTTGCATAATGCTGTGTCTGGAGTGCTCTGTGTGTCTGGAGGCCAGGCAAGGTGTTGATAGCAAGTCAGGAAACATCCTTCAAGATAGCTAGGGGCATTGACAAGTTGGATGCTAACAACTCGTTAACCGCTTCTTAGATGTTTATCGACACTACACATGAAGTACCATTTTAAAAAAAAAAAAAAAAAAAAAACCAAAAAAACCCCAAACCAAAACTGCGATTCAATGAGTTATGAGAGCCTGTGGAAAAAGGCTGAGCTGGTCCATGGCTGTGGATACCAGCTGGTCTGATACACAGCACAAGTCTTACGAGGAGCGGCTGAGGGAGCTGGGGGTGTTCAGCCTGGAGAAGAGGAGGCTGAGGGGAGACCTTATTGCCCTCTACAGCTGCCTGACAGGAGGGGGGGAGCGAGGTGGGGGTCGGCCTCTTCTCCCTGGTAACAGATGCTAGGATGAGGGGGGATGGTTTGAAGTTGCGCCAGGGCAGGTTTAGGCTAGACATTAGGAAAAACTTCTTCACCAAAAGGGTTGTCAGGCTCTGGAACGGGCTGCCCAGGGAGGTGGTCGAGTCCCCATCCCTGGAGGTATTTAAAAGAAGAGTAGATGAGGTGCTTAGGGACATGGTTTAGTGGTGGGATGGCAGGGTTCGGTTAAAGGTTGGACTTGATGATCTCAAAGGTCTTTTTCAACCAGAGTGATTCTATGATTCTATGATACTGTGGATACCAGTACAAACTGGAGCAGTCTGATCTCCCCGTTGGTGCTGTGGTGTTGCTGGTTTAAAGAGCCCCTGGTTTGGGATCCTGGAGAGGCAAGTGGCACTAGTCTTACTGCTTTTGCCCCATCTTGGTGGGCTGAGAGTGAAGATAATGTGTCAGGGGAAAGCCAGGATCCCCATCCTTCACGGATGCTGTGCACTGGAAGCACTGCCGGCCGTTCGCCCCCGCTGCCTGCCCTTCCCCTGCTTTCCCCAGAGCTGCCCAGTGAGGAGCGGAGCGCGGCAGCCGGATGGTCTCGGCTTGGCTCTCGCCTGCCAGACCCAAAATAGGAAATGTGTGTCCCGCTGCTTGCAGCAAGAGACAGGGCGACACGACCCGTGGCTCTAATTAGCTCGGCCCTGGGAGCGTGGCCAGCCCCGAGGAAGAGTGCAAAGGCATCCAGAGCTGGGGCGCGGTTTTCCGTGTAGCTTTGGGGGTGAGGAGGGGGTTGGGTTTGCTTCGCTTTAGGATTTTTTTGGTGTTTTATTAGTAAATCCTCTTGCTGGCCAGTGTCTCCTCCCCAGAGCACGGCGGCACCGGCACTCCTTGGGAGGGGTGTTAACGTTTTGGACAGGCATGCGATGGTGGGTTAAACACGGCCACTGGGGCTGCTGCCGCCGCTCCCTTTTTCCACCATCCTGCTGGGTAACGCTGCTTTGATAGAAAGGTAACAGGTTGGGGGTTTTGGGGTTTTGTTTTTGTTTTTTTTCCCCTAGCATCCAGGCTGATGATTGTGGGTCTGGCTCCCAAGCAGGTCAGGCAGCAAAGCCCATGGGAGACAACGGGGGGGACAGCTGGGGGCAGCAATGGCTTTGGGCTCATTTTAAGGCCACGAGTGTACCTGTGAAGCCATGGGAGACTGGCTAACAGGAGCGCAGGCTCTCTAAACAAGGTCCATCACAGGCTCTCTTTGCCATCCTTCTCCGTACAAATACAGTCCAGGGTGATAATTTCTGGCCTGGAAATGAGTTCAAGCTGCTTTTCACAAAGGCTGGGCTGGAAGAAATTGGCCAGAAAGCACAGGGATGCTTTGAAGTCTTCCTCACGGATGACCGTGCATCGGAGTTGAACTGCAGTTGCATCTGCACGCTTGTCCTTGAAGTCAGCGCCGTGTCTGCCGCTGGCCAGCTCTCGTGGGTGGTATCAGGATTTTTGGAAATAGTGTTGTAAAGCTTTGCAGGCCTTGTAGGGGGGGGTGGGGGGTGGGTCTGGCCCTCGCAGGGAGGAGGCACTGCCGAGCGGCAGCGTGTATGTGGGTAGGGCTGGGGATGCCTGCCTGCGCTTCCCCAGGGCTTGCCCGCTGTCCCTACGGCATGTCAGGATGCTTCGGCCGCTCTTGCCATGGGTCCCAGATGTGGCCAGCAGTGCCAAGCATCCCAGCATATCATCCAAACAGACCTGTGTTGGCCAAGCGGTCATGGAGGAGCTGTCCCTTCTATCCATGAGAGCAGCTTTTTTTCTTAATTAGCCCTCTCGGGACTGCCTGGGACAAAAAGCAGTGATGCCCAGGGGTTCAGAGATAGGTTTTTTGTGGCAGAGGGGGTTGCACCGAGCTCTGGTGTGGCGCAAAGGCTCTGGAAGCCAACAGTGAGTGCGGACCTACCCTGAGCAACGGGGAGGTCTTGGTTTTTCTTCATGCTTCCATCCTTGTCCCCATTCCTCCAGAAATATTAGGCGTCTTTCAAAGGTGGTGCCAGCTTCTGTGTGTTGTGGGGTTAGACTCAACAGCAAATCTTTCACTAAACTTGTGAAAGGGCTCGAGGAGACCCCAAAAGTCCTGGTTTCTAGGTCCTGTAATAACCACTTGTGGGTTTTAACCACCTCCTGTTTTGGTGTGAGGCGC